AATATTTTGAATAGGCAATACTTTCAAATAGTTCAAAATTCAAAATATGAAAAGGTGCACAGTAAAGTCTCTCTCCCACCTGCATCCCCTATCTACTCTTTTCCCCCACCTCTATCACAAGTAATTACTAGCTTTTCATGTATCCTTCCATAATTTAATGAATCTACAAAGATATATCTATATCTATCTATCTATCATCTATCTATCTATTCTAATCCTCCTTTTACACAAAATGTAACATGCTGTACACATTGCTCTCTATGTTGAATTATTTTTCTTAACAGTATATTTAGCCTTTTAGATCAGTACTTATAGAGCACAGAGAGACTCCTGCCATGCAGCCAGTAGGGAAAGGGACGAGAGATTGAAACTGGGAACTAGGCCTACCTGTGTGGCTAGGACAGGTCCCAGGGTGGGGTGGGTAAAATGATTCAAGATCTGAAGGACGATGAAAGCAGAGATTTGGGACAAGGTAGGTCTAAGGGGCCAGCAGTCCCTAATCACACACCAGATGACACATGCAAGTGTAAGACAAAGTGCCAATAGGAGTGTGGAATGCAGAGTTGGAACAGATGGATTATACTCTTAAGTCCTTCAAGGAAGTCACTATTGGTAAGGGTTAACCTTAGTAATTAAATGCCTCCGTCTCAGGATTAGGGCTTGGGGGTCGGAACTTGGATTTCGAAGGTCTTACTACTTGCAGGATAATTTCAGAAGAGCCCTTGCTGAAATCAGCAACATGGGTGATCTGAGACAAAATGTAGGAGCCCAGCAACCAATGTTCATGTACTGTGTCCTAGGCCAACCCAACACTGGGCTGCATGGGATGGGGCAGGGCAGGTGGATAAGTCTGAACCCTCTTAAGTACTTCATATTTTGAACCTTAGTCCAACCGAAGAAATGAGGTAAGCCTGGGGATTGGGCATCCAGAGGAAAATCAGTGGGCCCATGTGGAGCAGCTAGAGAGAGAGAAAGCAGAAGTGATAGGGTTGGGAAGAGAAACGGGATGTCACCTCTCAGAGTGTTCCACCACCTGAGAAACATGGAAATGAATGTGTTAGGAAACGTTTTGTCCTCTCTGCTACCTCGACAAATGCTTGTTGAATTGAATTGTTATCCTTATTGACTAAACTAGAATAACCAGGCTGGAAGCTGGACAACACTCCACCTTGACAATTACAAGGTTAATTGGGCAATGAAAAAGCTGTCAAAAGCAACTGTGGTGGAACCATCTCTGAGATACTTGAGACTAAAGCAGATACCTGTCTTGGATGATTTGGGAGCATCCCAGTCTCAAGAGTGGGATGAGAGCTTCACAGATATCTCCTGAATGATGAGGCAGAGAAGCATTAACAAGAATCAAAATCTGTACACGTGAGTTCTGAAGAAGCAGCACTGATTTGGCAAAATTCTTTCTCCTCTATAGATTATAGCAACTTTGGTTTGGGGGTGTGGGGCTTATTTTTTCTTTTAAAAAGTACACATACACACACTTATACACATGCACATGCAAACACTTACAGGCAATGGGAAATAGAGGCTTTATCCAAGTCAAGAATGAAAAAATCCCAACGGTTAAAGCAAAATAATTCTTTTCTTTTGCTTGAATTAATCAAACAATTGCTGTGCCCACTTATTCCTTTTTACTTGTTTGAACTTGGCTCCAGAAGGATTGAAAATGTGACAATTTTACTTATCACTATTGTCAGATACAATTTTCTAGATCAAAATAAGTGATTAGAATTGAAGGGAAATTAAAAGATTTTCATACTAGAAATCACTGAAATTCTCATTAAGGTAATTACTCTCTTTGAAGATGCTAATTTTAATTCACAGTACTTTGCTCAGTATTCTTATTCAATTTTTTTTAAAGAAATGCTTTATTTAATAAAGGGTGTTACTTCATGGTCTGGAAATATCTCTATGTAGTGGAATTAAGACATTTTCACTTAAAAAATGAATTAAGTAGTAAATATAGTAAGTATATAATACAGCAAAACATATTAATCTACAATGTTAATCCTTTCTTACATGCAAAGAAAGAATTATTCAATATAATTATCACATATGATATATGTGATACCACTTCCTTATGCTTTTCTCTCATATTAAAAGTCTGTTACAAATATAAATATTTGTAACAAATATAAATATTTACATAAATATATCTTCTACTCTAAAGCTGACTAAAGGTTTTATGCAGCCGTTTAAAGGAAAAATTGTTTGGTATAAATAAATATAATCCCTGATGATGTTTCTCATCTAAGATTTAAATTCTAGTAATATTCTCCTTTGATTTGTAGTTGCGCTTTTTTTCCTAGTTGACATATACACGCATTTGAGAGGCAATGCCAGCTTTATAATTATAAATCCCTATTTCCGTTTATACAAGCTGGAAGAACAATGTCTTCTTTTAATTGAAGGATTCAGTACAGTATTGTCAGCTCTAAAGAATGCCTAAGGAATGTTAACAGCATGTTAAATAAGTAAACAAACACAGTAACACAGAGTGTATGGAACAAATATAGAGAATGAATAAATCTTGGTTGTTTGGGGGAAGGCATATGGCTTCACTTCAATGAAAATAAAAAATTTAAACATTCATCTGAGTAAATAGTTATAACTTAGAGGGCTAGATCAAGTCAGGTATCTTAAGAAGAACTGATGGCCTTCTGCCTGGGAAAGACACCAAGGGTGGCCCTGATACAACTGCCTAGTAAATCTGCTGAATCCTGCAGGAAATGACGAGGCTTGCTGCAGAGAGTGGATTAAGAGAAGAGTCCTTTGGAAGGTATGGGAGGCACCCTGGCATGCTGGCACTCACAGTACATGGAGTTAGCTTCTGTTTCCCAGTACTACTGGCCAGGCTGGTGATGTGGGGCTGTCCTGCACTTCTGAGAATGGTCTGGTTACTCCCCTCAGCCATGACCTCAAGAGACATAAAGTTGAGAACACATCAGTAGGCAAGAGAACGTCTGTTCCATGCCTCTTCCTTTCTCCCAGCCCTACTAGAATATGCAGATGAGAAAGATCCAGAGAGCTACAGCCCAGAGCAAGCAGGAGGAAGAAAGAGGGATGATGGAGGCGGGGAGCGGGAGAGGGAGAAACAGGCAGATCCAGAAGTGGACCCGGGAGCCAGTTCTTCCTGATGTGGACATTTGACCATCTCTGAGCCGGGGAGTGTGGTACAGGTAGAGAGTACAGGCGGTGCCTGGCTGACCCCATTTCAGGCAACACGTGGAGACAGTGTAGCCAGAAGGACATTTTGCCTCTGCTTGCTCCTTTCGTCCAGTTCCTACCCTGCTTCTATCTGCCCTGGCTCCCTTCCTACACTGGGTTCCCAGTTCATCCGTTTCTGGTCCCAAGCCTCTGCCTTCCCCAGGTGTACCGACTGGCCTCTTTCTCCCTTCCAGCCTTCATGGGACTGAGCTCTCTGGCTTGGCCTTGGGGCCTCTCCCATGAGCTGCCTGGTGCTCAGGGCTCCTTGACTGCAGCCTGGGACTGCAAGCAAGGGTTGAGAGAGCATGTCTAGATGGGATAAGAGCACTAGGAAGAAGACATGGCTATTGCTGAACTGCAGACCAAGGGAGGGGGCACTGCAGACCCTTCACCGCCATCCTTCTCAGGGAATTCACATTTTGCCGCAACTTTGAATGCTGCCACCAATTGTTTCCTGGACTTCAGTAAACATCATAGGATAGTTAATGGCATGATACTTGCAGAATTATTTTTATTTTAAGTTATTAAAGAAAAAATGAAGAAAACAACTCGAAACTCAGGGCCAGTGACTGGATTTATCAGGTTTTGTTTCCAGTTATAAACTATTTCTTATACAGAAAGAAGAACAAAATGCAAAACCAATTTGAAAGTGAGAATAAATTATAGGAAGCCAGGTTATTTAATTTTTTAGTTTAAATTTGATTTTTTAATTTCAACATTTTATAAAATTTAATTTTATATTGCTGGTACTCTGATTGATATTATGCTACTTTGAGTTAGAAAGCATTTTCTGTTGAACTTCCCTACCTACTTTAGTCATTTTCTAATAAAATATAAAATATGAGTTTATAATCGCACCATGTCCTTTTTTCTTACTGCTTTCCACCAGTAAGGATATTTTTTCATTTTCATTTTTAATTGTGGTAGAATACACATAACATACAATTTATCATCTTAACCATTTTAAGTATATAGCTCAGTAGTCCTAAATACATTCACATTGTTGTGCATCCAATCTCCAAAATTTTTCATCTTGCACTAAGTAATTTTTTCACTTTTAATATATAGCATTACTAAAGCAAATTCCTTTGGATGGGGGATTTCTTTCATGACAAAATATCTTTCATTACTAACCCTCAGTGATCTTATAAGAAGTTTTAACAAGAAATGTATTACACAACCTTCAAAGCCCGGCAGCTAAACCAGCTCTCACACTGTGACTCAAGACTTTATTCTGCTTTGTTGCCTGCAGGCAAGGACAGGAGCCATGTCTTTTCATGGGTGAAAGGATGCAGTTAACATGCATACACATTATCTCCCACTTTGGGGAAAACTTTTCTTTTAAGGCAATATAGTTAAGTGAGAACTTTCTGTGCAAACAGCTAGATATTAAGATGTAACTACCGATAGAATGGTAACAACTCTAAATGCCTTACAGTAGGAAGCAGTAAAAATGCCTTTTATGGGAATGAATCACTATTTCCAAATATTGATGTCATTTTATTTTGTATACCTTTGAGTTAAAGGTATACAAAGGGAAAAAGGCAGGCAAAAGGCACCCAGGACAACGAGGTAGCACATTTGAAGGCAGCAAAGAGCAAAGATTCAAACTTATCCCTTGATCTTTATTTATTATCTTGGTGCGTTGATATATAATGACCTTTTTACCATCTACGTTCTTTTCAAGTATGTGTTTTTCAATCAGACAGGGGTTATTTTTCACTTTTTAATTCACTGAAGTGTTTAGTCCTGGGAGCCAAATACTGGAAATGAAGCATTACCTTTTTAAACATTCCAGACTCTGTAGGTAAAGGACCAGGCACCTCACAGGCAGTGTGAAAGAACCGGGACTCCCCGCAGCGCAATGTAAATTCTTGGCACTCTCCAGCCACATGGCCTCCATCCACTACCTCCAAAGCTCTGTAAAGAGTGGAAACAACAACTTATCAAGGATGCTGGAAAATCAAGAAGCCCAAAGGCACACTCCCCTGTGTATATTTCCAATCAACCAAAATAATGAATCATTCTTCAAAGCCTACACAGGATTGCAGATAACTTGGTACTCTCATAACACATTTATAAACAGGATTCTTTTAGACCCTGTGCAGAAAACAAATTGAGATAGATGGGTAAATAGGTAAATTGCTAGATGGTTAGATTTTGACATGAAAGCAATACAATTTCATTTTATATTTGTTTGGTTGCTCTGCTGTCATTGCTCTTAAGAAAAAAAAAAAAAGACATTTGTATGTTTCCTGAACATTGGAAATAAAGTGGAAACTGACTCCCAGTTAGGGGAGGAATCTAGGCTATGCCAGGCAAAGGAAACTGTTCCCAGGATTATAATATTTATTAGATTTAAAAGGAATGCAAACCAACGAAGGCAGAGAGTTTTAGCAGACACTGGTGGTTGCCTAGCCCAAAACCATTTCCTTTATCTAAACCCCCAGCCTAACTGCCACACCCCTAACACACATTTTCTTTGCTAATAACCCTGATTTTGTTCAGATATCCATGTGCTTCAGAGGAAGCTGCTTCCTTCCCTGATAATCAGTCACGATTGGTCTAATCCTGGTGTGCCATTCCCCTCACCAGTAACTGACTCAGACATATGCCCATACATATCTGCCTGGCTGATATCAACACACTGATTTAGGTCTACCTGACCCTTAAAGTGTTTGTACTTTGCCCTACTTATCTGATGCAACTCTGGCCACTGATATGAGAGAGACATCTGCTGAAGGAATCAGGAGAAGGTCTTTCTCTTAAAAGAAGGTTTACAGAAAGCAATAGTTCTTCCCTGAAAGCCAGTGTCATGACTGCATGTGATGAATGTGACAGCCATCCTGGGACCAGAAGTGGCATTAGCCTATTGAGAATAGATGGAGGAGAAAGCAGGGCAGAAATATGAGAGCAACTCGAGTCTTCAAATACATTGTTGAGTAGCTGAATTAACCAACCCTAGACCTGCCCTAGCTCTAGAGTTCTTGTTATGTTGCATAATAAATGTCCTATTCTTTAAGCCACTTTGAGTCACGTGTTCTCTATTATCTGTAGTTGAGCAGCATTATAACTGATACAAGGGTTAATATATTTCTTTTTCTTTTTTAAAAAATTTATTTATTTTATTTATTTATTTTTGGCTGTGTTGAGTCTTTGCTGCTGTGCGTGGGATTTCTCTAGTTGTGGTGGGCGGGGGCTACTCTTCGTTGCAGTGCATGGGTTTCTCATTGCAGTGGCTTCTCTTGTGGAGCACAGGCTCTAGGCATGCAGGCTTCAGTAGTTGTTGCACATGGGCTCTAGAGCACAGTCTCAGTAGTTATGGCGCACGGGCTTAGTTGCTCTGCGGCACGTGGGATCTTCCCGGACCAGGAATAGAACCCGAGTCCCTTGCATTGGCAGGTGGATTCTTAACCACTGAGGCACCAGGGAAGTCCAGGTTGATATATTTCTTAAGCATATAATTAAGGCTGAGAAATTAAGGCTGTATGGGAGTAATTTGAAGAAATTCATCTTGTACCTCTTTGTTTTAGAAAACATTATTCTTTGTGTTATAGAAAATATATTAGCAGCAACAATTTCTTTTTGTCTTCTCCATGGGAACTGAAATAAAAAAATAATTACTTTAGCCCAGTCACAATTTCTCTCTGCATAAGTAACCACTCTGAACTGTTTCCTTCCTGCAACATTTACGTCATATATAAGGACTTAGGAAAAAAACATTTCTACCCTCTGAGAGAAAGCACTGAAGTTCACCTTTGAGGAAAATCTCTCCTTAGGAATTACAGATGGCATGTATAAAGGGATAGAAAAACACACCTAGCTCCGGAGAATCACATAACAACTGAAAAGTATCTTAGAGTTGAGAAGGTGTTAAAGACTTAACCACGCTTGTATGTCTGCATCAAGACCTATTTTTACTAAGTGGTCCACTGACCCTAAACCACAGTCCTTGTCCTTCTTTTGCTCACAAATAAGCCAAGAAGAGCAGCAAGCAAGAGAAGACCACTAGGACTATAATGGGGAAGAACAAATCTGACTCCATATGGGATCTCTATCCCTTTTACTTTAACTTTCGTATTCTATTGCCTTTGTTACAAGTGCATCACTAAAGAGACATTGCCTATAGTTTAAAGTATACATAATGGCCCGTATCTGGGAACCCTGCCTCCCAAGCCTGAGGTGTAAGCTAAAATACCTTTGTTTAAGTTCACAGGAAACATCCTCACCAGGCCCACCTGTAAATGGCCGCAGGAAAGAAGAAATGAACACACCCCCTCCAGAGACTGGCTGGAATCAGGAAATATTTGCAACAGCTTTATCCCCTTTTGAGCTTTACCTCCTCTCCTCCCGCTCTTTGTTCTATAAAAGAAACTAGCATCCAAGCCCAGGCAAGATGGTTCTTTGGGACCTTAGTCCACCATCTTCTCCATCTGCTGGTTTTCCAAATAAAATCGTATTCCTTGCGTCAACACCTCATTTCCCGATTTATTGGCTTATTGTGAGGTGAGCAGTACAAGCTTGGACTCAGTAACAGGACAGAAAATGGATTCCAACCACTGCAGTTTTATAAATTGTAAAAGTAACAAGAAATGTACAGAAAGTCTGCCACTTTTAGTATTTTTTCTTTTTGAAGAAAAAAATATATGCCATTGAATGGATCTAGTGATGCAGTGATAAGCCTGAACGACATGTGCTCCTAAGCTTTATATTGTTGGAGGTGGGCAGAGTTCCAAAACGGAGTTCTCCCTTCCTGCTAGATACTATGTATTGTGTGATGAAAAGCTAGCAATGGTGCTCTTTTTTCTCAATTTTTCTTGTGATCCAATCCCTGCCTATAGTATAGGATCCTTTCGCCTGCAAGTAACAGAAATTCCAACTCACAGAAGCCTAATCAAACACGAAGTTTATTACTGCATATAAACGAGAAGGGTGGACTGAGTTGCTTTAATCGGTCTATTCAGTTGCTGCTGAATTGAGTGGCTGCTACAGTTCTGGTCATTACATACAGATATGAGAGATACGATAATTCCAGGGGATGAAAAGACTATCTTTTCCTGTGTCTCTCTCTCAGAAGTAAGGAAGTCCTGGGAGTTTGGGACTGACATGTACACATTGCTATATTTAAAAAGGATAACCAACAAGGACCTACTGTATAGCACAGGGGACTCTGCTCAATGTTATGTGGCAGCCTGGATGGAAGGGGAGTCTGGGGGAGAATGGATACCTATATATGTATGGCTGAGTCACTTTGCTGTGCACCTGAAACTATCACAACATTGTTAATCAGCTATACTCCAATATACAAAATATATATGTGTGTCTGTGTGTGTGTATATATATATGAGGAAGTAAGGAAGTCTTCCCTAGAAACCACCTAGCAGACTTCTCTACGTGTCTCATGCCTACACCAAAACAATCACTGGACCTACCCCCTTGAGGCTGGGGCCTGAAGGACATCACCATGCAGAGAGTGGGCACCAGAACAAGCTGGTGTTCTATTAGGAAGAGAGGATTGGGGGGGGAGTGGACATGGATGTTGGTGTGTGTCACCTCACCTCCCTGTCTGACAACACGTTCCCCATACTTACTACACTGTTGGTAGACGTGGAGTCGATATATACTCATGGTTGAATTTGAGTTACCCGAGCAGAAATGTTCATGACTCTGGCCTCATTGCATGTTGAACCCAGGCAGCGTACTTGCCCTCCTGATTTGGGGATAAACTAACAAGACTTAGCCTGCTATCCAAAGGTCAATTCTATATGCTTTGGGTCATGATCTGAGAAGGCAGATTTATCTTCTCAGTGGTCAGAGGAAGGGGATGACCCTCACAGGTAGTCCAGGCAAGGTCCTTGCTTCATCTGCAATTCCCAAGCCAGGAATTGCTGACTTTGTGCTATAGCCAGTGACCTCTGACCTCCCTTGGAGGGGAGGGGGATGAGGGGGTTGGCTGAATTCCTTTTCTTCCAGATCCAGATCCAAGCAGTCCTGCTGAGCACCTGGTCACAGGTGTCATTATTTCAAAGTTGGCTCCAGGACCTGGTTGGGAGGTGAAGAAAGGCCACGGGATGTGTGGGCTGAGAGGGCTTCACAAGCCAAGCTCAGCTTTGGGAGCTTCTCCCCCCAGAGGCTGAGGCCACCCTGTGAGCATTTTCTAGTTCCTCTAAAGTCAGACACAGAACTTCCACTCATGGCAAACGTATTACACAAGTGTGTCTCCTGAAACACAACCTTTGCGAAACATGACACAGATATAATACACCTAGAATCATGCTGGAGGGACCCCCAGGCCCTACATTAACTTTGAAATAATATCTAGCTTTCATTCTTTCAGCAAGCATTTTTAGATTTCCTGCCATGTGTCATATATCCAAGGACACAAAGGTGAAGAAACCCACTCCAAGCCCTCAGGATATCAAGGTCTAGTAGACATAGGAGCTCATTGCATGGACAAAACATTTTAATTGTGAATAATAGTCACAGATGGAGCTAGACAGAGATAAGTCCCCCTAGCTTAAAGAAAATCTTAGTGTTTGCAACAGGAAAGACCAATTGGAAAGTTCATTTTTCTTTTCCAAAGGGTATATTTCAGTTTAACTCCTGATGGGCTGTTGGTAGTCTTAAGAAAGACTAAGCATAGCCCCCTGGTGAGAAATTTAAGATTTATAAATGGAAGTAGACTTTCCTTTCTGAATAGTCACTACTGGTCTCTTATTAAGCACAACACTTCTGGGGTTAAAAAATAAGACAGAATAAAATCAAATCCTCAAACACTGCCATACCGGTCTGTAGTTTTAGCAGAGGATAATTTACTAATTTGCTACTTTATACTCTGTACTTTCCTTTTTTTAGTACAGGTATTATGCTGCCAGAAGTGAAAGAGTTTCAGTGTTAAGTATTGTATTTTACTCAGACTC